ATGTTTATATGCTGTGAATACATATTGGAAGGAATACTAAGAGACATACAAAGTACTGAGGGAATAGGAATCTGAATAACTGTCATTGACATCATCCTAAGCACATTCCTCTCATCCTTCCCAATTTGGTTTATCATCTGGTGCTTTTCTCTGTCATTGTATGGCTTCTCTTTACCTAATGCTTTTTCTATGCACAGCTGTGTATGTGATGCATTTGCGTGTGCACGTGTGTGTTCACTTGTCTGTGTAGGCGTCTGGAGGCCAAGGCTGATGTGGGTCGTCTTCCTCCTCATCTTACCTACTGAGGCAGGGTCTCTCAGTTGAACCCAGAACTCTTCGACTCAGCAAGTCTGGCTGCCCACTTGCTCCATGGATCCCCTCTCTCTGCCTTCTAAGAACTGGAATTACAGGCAGGTCAAGCCTAGCTCCCAACACTTTTTTTTTAAATTAAGGAAGAGCATGTTCTAGGTGTGACAGCTTTGGGTTCCTTGGTATTGATCCACTTCCTTGTTAATGAACTTCTCGGCCTTCAGATTTCATGCAGCAATCTGCTGGAGAAGCAGCGTGACACAGTGGCTGCTCCTTAGACCCCTGTGAAGTAGTCCCTAAGTCTTTCTTTTCCCTGGTGGCGATGGCGTGGGGGGCCAGGGACTCGTTCTGGCCGTTTCTCTCCCTCTTTTTGTGACTGTATGTTGGAAGGGTGCTGCATCCCGGGGAAGCCACTGTCTACTCTAGAGTATCAGCTCCAGAATGGGAGATAGCAGTGGTAAAGAACACTGCTGGGAAAGTGAGTCTGTGGAGTGGGCTCCACGTTTCACAGTGGGAGCGTCTTCCCCGGGAAGAGGGCAAGATAGAACTCAACGTGGAGGTTTTAAATGTAACTTAAAGTTCATTTGAGTTAAGGAAATCTCACTGTACCCATTCTCCGTCTTTTTCTTTTCTCTCGTTTTCTCCCTGCTCCCCCATCTCTGTTCTCTTTTTTTTTATTTTTATTTTTTTTTGTGTGTGTGCCTTAAAAAAATTACTGAGTGTTGAATGAGGGACCATTCTTAAGGCTTCTACGCTTATATCACTACATAAATTACTGTGTTTTTGGATGTGAAATGACTGAGCCTCAAGTTTCCATGTTCAGCATATATGGAGCATTTAAAGTCATGTGGGTAATTTCTACAATAAATTAACTCTGCAGAAAAGGTTGGTCAGCTCATCCCCAGGGATGACAGTGAGCCTCTCCATTGTAAGTTGAGGAAATGGACTTGACAGTCAGTGGTTTGCCCAAAGCCACACTGTCACAGGCATCGAGAGGATGGAAGCCACGGGTCTTGCTTATAAGCAAAAGCACCAGTGTTTTCATGGAAGACACTGTAGGCCTTAGTCATATTGACCTAAATTAAGATTCAGGGACTAACAAGCCTCTGGTGTTTGGACGAGCCTACCACATGAACCACAAAGAGCTGACTTGTTTCTTCAAGTTACCTGCAGAGGTTTTAAATAGGCCTTAGGTTTCTTTCTTTCTTTTTTTTCCTTTTTGGAGGGGACTTGTTTGCTTGAGATCAAAAGCTGTATGTACATCTGGCCAAATATTGCCAGGAAAACTGACAAGCCGCTGCCTGAGGTTCACCACGAGGACGGCAGCGCCTCAGTTTGTAACAGTCCACTATTATTGTTGTTGCTGTTTTATTTTGTTTGTTTGTTTGTTGTTGTTGTTGTTGTTCTTATTTATTTTGAGAAAGGGTTTTTCTGTGTAGCCCTGGCTGTCTTGGAACTCTTTCTGTAGACCCCGCTGGCCTCGAACTCAGAGATCTGCCTGCCTCTATCTCCAAGTGCTCGGATTAAAGGCATGCTCCAGCACCATTTGGCTTCCCCTCCCCAAGGTTTTATTTGTGTGTGTGTGTGTGTGTGTGTGTGTGTGTGTGTGTGTGTGTGATTATTGTTTTTAGTGGATGAGAAAAAAGCCTTTTGTTAGAAACTTAGGTTTTAAAAACAGTTTTCAGGGGTTGACCTGACCTGTACTTAAACACAATCTCCCAACACATTTACTTCTATAAAACTGAGTGGCGGGGTAAGAACTTCTACTGAGGAACTACCAAGTCCTCCACTTTCACAGAGGTTCCTCTAGTTATTATTGTCCTTAGCCAGAATTTGCCAGCTTATTTTGTAATATTTTCATCAAAAACAACACATTTACTTCTATAAAACTGAGTGGCGGGGTAAGAACTTCTACTGAGGAACTACCAAGTCCTCCACTTTCACAGAGGTTCCTGTAGTTATTATTGTCCTTAGCCAGAATTTGCCACCTTATTTTGTAATATTTTCATCAAAAACTGGGTTTTAAAAAAGTTTTTTATTCTCTTTTCTTCTTCCCTAACCTTCACTTGGAAACTTGACCTCATTTACAAAGAAACATGTAATTTAGTGCCACTTTTGGGACATCACTACCATGAACAGCTCTGGTGTAGGGACTCACTCACACTCCTACTGACCCAAAACACAGTGTAGAAATCCGAGCAAAACCAACTTGGAGCTGCAGAGAGCAGATGCCAGAGACACCAAATACCCTTGCCTGACAGACGGTTCTGCCAGGTGATTATCTAAGTGTGTGGCTCCTGAGATTTGATTTCACCCTCGATCCGTCAGATTTAGGGACCAACATGCATGTTCACAGAGCTGGCGAATGGCTGATTGAATAATGACCAGAGGCGAATCCTCCACTTACCACACTTGCAGTCTGCTCAGAGAAACATGGTGAAGTCTCCCAGCATCCAGTTCATTCTGCCCGGAAGTCATCATCCCTCCGCCCAGTGTGTTCATGCTGTACATGCTACCTGCTTGCTGGTCACATAGTGCCTGGCTGTTGTGGTTAAAGGTGAAGACCATTATTTCCCTTAGTGGTGGTCTTGGAGTGTGGGAGTAACAAAGCCAGAGGTTCAAATAAGTAAAAAGGAAGCCGTGAAGTACTTCCTTTCAGTGAAAAGGTAGATGTTCTCAACTCAAAGAAAAGAAAAATCCTATACTGAGGGTGTTCCATCTCATCCCCAGCACCCCACCTCTGCCTCCCGGGCACTGAGATTGTAGGTGTGCTTGGTTACATCTTTAGTTAGATGTTCTTAAGGAATGTTTGTCTTGGACTGAAATCGTTGGGTGTGTGGTCTGTTGATACAGTAAAAATGGATCCTCTATTCAATTGTGAAGAAAAAAGAAATACATGCTAGTTTTGTCTTGTGCCTCAAACTGGAAGGTATAGACCACCGTATGTGATAAGTGCCAGATAAGATGGGACAGGCATCGGATTACAAGGTTGGGCACTATCTGTGTTTTTAAGCATCTGTGGATGTATGGGGAGTCCTAGATCATATCCTTTGCATGAGGGAGACTAGTGGATATTAAACCATGGGGCAGGATACAGACATTTTATAGATATTGATTAATTACTCAAAAACATTTTCTCTGTCTCAGAAGGTAGCATGTATTTACACATTTATTGCTGCTTGCTTCTGTGGAAATTTTTTGTTTGTTTGTTTGTTTGTTTTTGTTTTTCAAGACAGGGTTTCTCTGTGTAGCTTTGCACCTTTCCTGGAACGAGCTTTGTAGACCAGGCTAGCCTCGGACTCACAGAGATCCGCCTGCCTTTGCCTCCTGAGTGCTGGAATTAAAGGCGTGCGCCACCACCGCCCAGCATGTGGGAATTCTTATGGCCAACCTGATAAGTGGGCTCAAGTTCCGACCACCTCCCTTTGCAATACTGGGGTGCTAGCAGTCTAGCTTTTCTGATTTTTTCCTTCTTCTTCTAAGTGTATAGTTGGAATGCTAACGTCTTCTGAAGATGTTCCATGAGCTAAATGTCTTAACATAAAACCTAGAAGATAATAACTGCTATTAGTATTATGCTGTCATTTGGGCCATTGTCTGCATTGAAACTGTACAAGTCAACATAGAAGACTGAATAATAGGCAGAAAATTGCTCGTAGAATCATTTGAGATGATAGATGGCCTTTTTTTTTTTTTCTGTTCTTCTTTTTGAGACAGGGTCTCACCATGTATCCTGGGCTGTCTTCAAACTGGTCCTTCTGCCTCTAGCTGCCTAGTTCAGGGATTACAGACCTGTGCTGATATGGCCCACTTAGTCAGATGTTCTTTCAGACAAGTTATTTTATTTCTCTCTCCCCACCCTCTCTCTCTGTGGGGTGTGTGCACATGGGTGCAGTGCCCTCAGAGGATAGAAGAAGGTGTATGATCCCCTGGAGAAGCTGGAGTTACAGGTAGCTGTGAGCCACCTGATGTGGGTTCCGGAACTGGAAAGAGCAGGAGGAGCTTTTCACTGCTGGACCAGCCCTCAGCCTCCTAGTTAGATGTTCTTAAACAGTGACTCCATTGGGCTGGAACAATGGGGTATGTGGTCAGTTGATGTAAAAGATGCTGGTTCTAGAATCTGCATGTTGTTTGGTCAAAACTGTGTAAAGTCCACTAAAGTCTTCATTTGTGGTTTCTAGTTTTCTGAATTTCATGAAGTCATCACTTTGTGTGTGGAGGGGGTGCCTGATTTCTTTTACTGCAGTTGTATATAGTAGTAACAAAGGGGTCATTTGTTGTCTTGATTGGTTTGGCTTTCAAAAGCAGCTCTTGGGGGATGATTTGTTGTGCCTCTAAGACCAACTCTTCTTTTGATGTGCATTCAGGAAGCTAACCTGTTGTTAAAAGGCTCATCATTTATTTATTTGTTTATTCTCTCTCTCTCTCCCTCTCTCCCGTGTGTGCGTGCGTGTGTGTGTGTGTGTGTGTGTGTGTGTGTGTGTGTGTGTGTTTGTGTGTGTGTTTGTGTATCTAATACAGCACCTCCTGCATGCTAACCCAGTGCTCTACCCCCAATCCCTATCTCTCCTTCACAAAGTAAAATTTATAATGGTGTCACGTTGTGCCCATGGTGGGCTGGGTATGCCAAGTGCTTACGGAAGATGATTCGTTTATCTGACACAACACAACCAGGAAAGATTCCTTCTAAGACGTGCTTGGCTTGCGTTTACTTTTATTTTCTTTGGTCCCTGGCACAGGGATTGACATCTTGAAGCTCGTCGCGGCCCAGGTGGGAAGCCAGTGGAAGGACATCTATCAGTTTCTTTGCAACGCCAGTGAGAGGGAGGTGGCTGCTTTCTCCAATGGCTACACTGCTGACCATGAACGGGCTTACGCAGCCCTGCAGCACTGGACCATCCGTGGCCCCGAGGCCAGCCTCGCCCAGCTAATCAGTGCCCTGCGCCAACACCGACGCAATGACGTTGTGGAGAAGATTCGTGGGCTGATGGAAGATACTACGCAGGTAATAGAGCCCTCCGTGGTTGTTTGCTTTGCCACTAATCTGTTTGTCTTTGAACCTCACACTTCATCAGGTATGTTTGCAAGGAAAAACAGCTGATCTTAGGGGTTTGGGTAGTTGTGCATGCAAGTGCTTACACACACACACACACACACACACACACACACACATACACACACTCAAGCGTACCTCTACTTTTTAGGGCAAAAGTCCTCAACGGCGGTGGTTTACAATCGTCTTGGGAATTCTGCCATTGTTTGATGCTTGGACCCCCACTGCACACCTATCAAACAGACTATCAAGGGTTGGGGGATTGCAAATCACCTGTTTTTAAAGCTGTCCAAATGTCTCCAGTGTGAGGAATTAAGAATCCTTGTCTTTGGAAGTACGTTCTAGAATCAACCTATGCAGCCAGAACCATTGCTTGTTAAAATCAACTTAAAACCTCGTTTTTCATTGCATGTTTTGAACAAAACCAAACAGGGGAGGAACCCTTCCTCTTCCAGAGGTTGTGTGCCCACTCATGTGGGTTTTCTGGCTTAGTTAGGGAGGCCCTCCTTGCTTGATGAAAAACCAACAGCGATTGGTAACAGAACTGACTCCCATTGGTTGTTCAGCTGCCTTCATCACGTGGGAACCGCAAACATCCAGGAGTGTATGTTATTGATGCAGTGAGCACTAATTTTGGAGCCAAACACTGGATCCAAATCCTGGCTCTGACCCTTGTTAGATAAATGATCAAAGACAAGTTACATCCAGTTTTTCTGATACTGATCATATTTGCAAGCCTTCTTTGTGGGCATTAATAACAACAGTGTAAATATGGAGTGTGAGATGCCCGAGTTATTGCTGTTATTTATCCTAGCATGGTAATTACTATCATCATGTAACTCATTTCACTCAGCCATTCTTTACCTAATAGTTCCCCGAAAAACATGAATTAAGTAGAAGATTCAGTATCGGATCGTATTTCAAATTGACTTTGATTAAAATTTGGGGATGTATTCTGCCATTAAAAGACTTGATAAAACCCCCTTGAGGTTAAAGGCCATTCTGCATGTGTTACGCCTTCTAAGGTTCCAATTCATTAGTTAGAAGAGCTAAGTAGAGATTAATTCACCACTTTAACTCACTTCATGACCATTCTGCACCAAATCTTGTACAAGGGACTCAGGGTTATGTATCTTTTATCTTTTTACATTAACAGTATAATAGCCCTCCATTAGTAATGTAAACATTGATCAGGTGAGTTTTATTATAGTGATATTAGGATATGAATGTGTAGTTGTTGGCTGTCTTTGAAGGTGGCTTTCGTAGTTCTTGGTATATTTTTAACCTCTTTGAAATGTGCAATTTCAGAAAAATGTTTACTGAGAAGCCAGTTATAAACATTAATAGGCACACACCAATGTGTTGCAAGAGTTTTTTAATGTGTATTTTATCTGCATGTATGTGTGTGCACCTTATGTGTGCCTGTTGCTCTCAGAGGCCAGAAGACAGTGTAGGAGCCCCAGGAACTGGAGTCAGAGATGGCTGTGAGCCTCCAGATGGCTGCTTGGAGTCAAACTCAGGTTCTCTGCAAGAGAGGTCAGTGCTATTAACCACTGAGCCGCCTCTGGAACCTTTGTTTTGTGAATTTTAAGAGACGTTTTTGAGAAGCCTCGTACACAGCCATAGCTAAGCTTTTAAATAGTTGGGTTTGGAAAAGCAAGAGAAATATTTACCCTCCATTTAAATAAGATACTTGCAGTTGAAATAGAGGGAGTCCAGAGGTGGTGTGTCATGCTTTCATGAATGTTGGCTTTAAGGGACAGAACTAGTCAGACAATGGGAGACTCAAGATGGGTTCAGATATTTGGGAATAAATTGCCAAATCACCTTGACAACACCTAGGAGAAAGATAATGCAAGTTAGGCTGTATTAGGATTTGGTTATCGCAAATCTGTGATGATCCCAGAAGATAAGAGGTAACTGTGGCCAGGTGGTGGTGGTTCACGCCTTTACTCCATCCATCCCAGCACTTGGGGGGCAGAGGCAGGTGGATCTCGAGGCTAGCCTGGTCTACATAGTGAGTTTCAGAACAGCCAGGGCTACACAGTGAGACTGTCTCAAAAAAGCCAAACTAGACAAATAAATAAAATAAAAAGAGGTGACTGGGGATCCAGTGGAATGACTGATAACCTAAAAGGCATAAGCAATTTACAAGAATGAGTTAAAACACAAAGTGTCTCTTCCTAGACGATAACCTTATACACATCTCTTTCTTATCTCTCATCTCCTCTGTACTAAAAAAAAAAAAAATCCTAACCACACCTTCTTTTTTAATTTGTATTTTGAGTGGCCATGGTGTGCAAGCATTCTATAGCTCCCAGCTTGATTTTTCTGTAGCTTGGGCATGATGACGCATGCTGAGAGGACAATGCTAAGCTTCTCATTGCATGTTGTAATGATGCACATCATTGCATTGCACCATTCTGGGTCCAGTTCTTAACTAATTTTCGGAGCTAACGAGCCTGATTCCTGACTGCCGGTCCTTAACAACTGCACAGCTGTGTGGAACAGTCCGCCGTCCATAGCTTCTCTCTGAGACTTGTCAAGTCAAGCAAGAGACCTGGAAAGCAGAGGGCATAATTAAGACTCACTCTGCACATTTTCTGGTGGAATTGCTTTCCCGGTGTATTGTGGTACTATTGGTGATTCAGGACTTTGCCCCAGGAGTTAATGGACTCTTAATGTGTAAAAATGACTCATTTTAAATGGTTAATGTTTCTTCCTGTTCGTGAGGCCGAGAACACTTACATTACACTGCTTTTCAAAGGTTGGCATTCGTGTGGCTTTTAGTTACTCTGTCCAGAACAGCTGGTTCGATATTAACTATGGTAGCCATTATTATGTCCATCCTGAGGCTGGCTCTTTCTTCATCTGAGATATGAAGCGCATTTTGCAGGCCATTTTGCAGGCCTTCTCTTCTAGGATCAGTGTCTAAACTGAACCCAGATCCTCCAGAGTTGTAGCTTTTCTTCCAGCCCCCCACATGCTGCAATTTCAGATTTACCTTATTTTTTTTAATGAATACCATGAGGACTGCAGCATCCATACTTAAGCTACAAAGTGCATTACAAGTGCGTGCTCTTCACCATTTTCGGGAAGCTTTAATCTTATTTATGTTTGTTTTCATTGTCAAGATTTCAGAGGTTGGGGATGGAGCTCTGTGGGCAGAGTGATTACCTAGTATTGGGCAGGCCTGGGTTCGACCCCCAGCACTTCATACACCAGACATAGTCGCACATATCTGTGATCACAGAACTCCAGTGACGGCAGGAGGATCAGGAGTTCAAGATCACCCTCGGTCCTAGGGAGAGTTTGAGGTCAGCCTGGGATATTCTATCTTAAAAGAAAAAGTAATAACCATAAAAAAAAGAGAACTGTCATGCTCTACCCTCACTGCCCTGCAAAACATGGTGAGTATGTTCTTCCACAGTTCAGATTTGTGCTGAGTTCCCGGCCCTTCTCTGTTGTCTTCCTGCGGCCTCTGCTTCTGCCTGGATCATTCTTCTTTGTCTAAACAACACTTCTCGTTTTTGGGCATCTCATGAAAACTCATTGTCTGGAATAGGCCCCACCGGATAAATAAGCAAACACCTAGGAGAATATTATTTCACTGTAGTTTTTTGTTTTTTGTTTTTTTTCGGTTTTTTGAGACAGGGTTTCTCTGTAGCTTTGGAGCCTGTCCTGGACTAGCTCTGTAGACCAGGCTGGCCTCGAACTCACAGAGATCCGCCTGCCTCTGCCTCCCGAGTGCTGGGATTACAGGCGTGCGCCACCACTGCCCGGCTCACTGTAGTTTTGAGGGATAGCTAGGAATTAGAAGTGTGGCTTCCCAGTTCCTTTCTTTTGGTACCTTTGCTCAGGTTTGTTTCTCCTCCTGGAGCAGCAAGGAGATGACGTGGATTTTATCTCTCAATCTCTATTATGTAAGAATTCATGAGCACAGTTTGATGCCAGGCACTTCAGGCCCCACAGATAAGACTGTCAAGGGAGCTTGCAGTTGACCAGAAGTAACTCATAGAGACCTGTGTAATCAAAGAGACTGTGTCCAGGAGGTTGGAGGGCAAATGTACTCGATGTTCTTGGAAGCAGCCGTTAAGATTCCAGTGAGAACAGAGGCATGGAGATGAGTGACGAGCTAAATTCCTCGGTATGATCATCTGGAAGACCCTGGGTACACCACCATGCTCCTCTGTCTCAGTTTCTTTGTGACAAAACATGATGCTCGTGGGTTGTTTGGGGGACGAACGTGGTGTGGCTGCCAGAAAGCAGTCCGTGTATGTTTATTTCTTTTTAGATGTAATGACTTCCCGACTTGTTCCTAACCAGCTCCAACTCACACACATAATGGACCTTTTAAATCCTGAAGGCTGGGGTCACATAGTTTTGGGCAGGGAGGCTCACCAGGTTTCGAGGCTGCTGGAAGTGGATGGTCTGTCAAGGCGGAGTTGCCTGGGTTCGGTGGCCAAGAACTAGAAAATCCAGCTAACTGTAAATATTTATTCCTTCCTGCCCCAGAGAGTGCTCCTAGACTGGCTGGAATGTTCTCCCTTGCGGGGAAACAAAGGTGTGTGTGGAGAGAAGGCTTCCCCTCTTCATGGTTTTCAAGAGGAGAGAAATGACTTTCGTTAGCTGAATTTCTAGGTTTTCTTTTTAACTTTCTTTTTCTTCTTTTCCCCTGCTTTTATTTTTGGCCCCTTGGGAATGTAGATAGACTTAGTGAGTGCTGTATTTGTTTTCTGATCTCTTCCTTACAATCCCTGTCCCTTCCTTCAGTGGGGTCTGAGGGCTAAGAAGGGACTCCTTTTCGCCTTAGGAAGCCCTGGGTGAAGTCTGTACATTTGCATGGGAATTCAATGCTTACCAGAATTGACTGAGGTACTGACTTGTCATGCTCTGGGATGTATAGAGCCAGGTGTGAGAGCAGTGGCCAAGCTCAGGAACAATTTGATAAT